TAAGATACTGAATTTATTTATTTCTAGATGTTTTTATTGCTCAAAAACACCTGTAAAAACATGTATTCTTAATGGGAGTAGAGTTGCCTCTCCACAGATCTCACCTGTAAATGAACCTGGAGCCATCTTCTTCTTGTCTCTGCGGAGATTGATAAATAAATTTAATGCCATGCTTTGGAACACTGCAAACAAAGCAATAACCTGAACAATGGAAACAAGCAACTCTATGAGAAAAGTTACATAGTGCACCTTTAAATAAATGATTTGACATATGAAATTACCTCATATTTCACATCGCACATGATTTGAACCTGCAGCAAAGACAAACCTGAACTTGAAACTGAAATTCCCATGTTGCTTTGTTAAAAATCAGCGGGAGATAAAACGCCCCACCTGCTCCCGTCGACGTGGGCCAGACAGAAAAACTCTAAAAGGACTTCACATTCACTCATCTCCTCGGCTCCGCTCATGAATTTTGATGCTGGTTCTGATCTCCTGCTGTCTCCACTGGGCTCAGCAAAGAGGAGGCTGTAGTCAGGTCTAGTGCGGTGGAGCTGTAGAGATGTGGTGTAGTTAATGCGTTTGAGCTCTCTTCATAGGGCACGCTGGGGCTGTTATGTAAGCCCTTGTATCCAGGCAAAAAGAGGGGCTGCTAATGATGACAATGGGGAAAAGAAAGTAATTGTTTTGTTTTAAATCAGGTCGCCCTCATATTTTCTTTTGGGACTGCATGTTACTGCATTGGGCTGCACAATATATTGTTATCGACCCCAAAACGCAATTTCAGCCGGTGCAATTATCAAACCAGAAAGGCTGCAACCAGAAAGGCTGCAATTATTTATGTAGACAGGTTAATAGAATAATGTTGTACCTGTAGTTTAGACTTGTACAAATGTGGTCTGAAATACAAACAATTCTCTTATTAGTTCATCCGTTCATATCTCTCTTATTTCTTCTTTTAAATGTTAAGACATGCATCCTGAATTTCGGACTTCCGGTCATCATGCAATGCATACTGGGAAGGATCCCTGAAAAAGTGAGCAATAAATCGCCATGTTTGATTTCACAGTGGGATGCATCTAGTGTCAGAGCCTTTTCAAGTCTTTTGAACCATATCGCTTTTGTTTCTGGTTCTGATATTGTCAGATTTTAATTATGGGATTCGGACATCGTAATTGTGTGGTTGTTAGATATTCTAACTGGAAAACGGCTCGAGAAGTGGCCTTCGGAGGTTTGCGAAATCCATAACTGCATCTATATATATATATATATATATATATATATATATATATATATATATATATATATATATATATATATATATATATATATATATATATATATATATATATATATATATATATTATATATATATTATTATATTTATATTTATTTATTTTATTTTTTTTTGACAAAGCAAAAGGTGGGTCATTTGAGGATTTGGTTATAAAATACAAAAGAAAATGATTGTTACAGAACTTTTTTTCTTTGCTGCATATTCCATTGCTCTTAATTCATATACCTGATGTCGCCTGTATGTATATCAAATGTACAAAGTACTAAACATATAGACATTTTTTGAGAGTCCAAACGTTTGACTGATAGTGTGTATATATATTTTTTCCAGTTTGAGCAGTCCTCTCACTGTACAAGAATCTACGAGCAGAGCGGTATTGGCTTAAGGTTTACTGTCCTGTAATCTATTGTAAAGTAATTGTAGTGTTTTGACTCCAGTGGTCGATTAGTGACTTTGGCTGTGATTGATGGTGTGTAATCTTAAATCTAAAGATTAGGGAGGATTAGTAGAAAGTAGTTCACAGACACACAGTGAATCAGAGCATATGACCTACTGTATATAAGGCCCAGACGCGCAGCTCACTTAAGTCGTAATGATACTGTCTCTGTTGTACAGTTTGAATGCATGTGGGCAATAATGTGAAAAAGTAAAATCAATATTAGAAGGCAGATGATTTCATATGAGATTAAGGCATGTTTTGTTTAGTGTACAGTATTTAATATGCCTCATATTCAGAAAATGTTGGTGGGGTGCATCACTTATCTATCTTGCATCCTGAATTATATTGTTTCTTTGGTTTTAATTGCAAAAAAATACCTGAACAACATGCATTTTGTGAGCAGGGTTGCCAATCCACAATCCTGACTTGTAGTAAATTTGTAGTAACGTTCCCGGCAAAGCAATAATAGCGGACCCTTCATCAAAAAAGTTATATGCACCTTTTTTGGCATTTTGTTTAAATGCTGTAGTGATGGATTCTAAAAGAAAGACTGCAGGAAATACAATTTGTCTTCATTGCGAGGCGAGTGGGCGCATATTGACGTTAAAGATGTCTGGATTTCAAAAACCAAACAACTACCTGTGAAAGCTTTAGTACATTGGGTCACTCTGGGACAAATGAGGGACAGAACTGATTTGTTTACAAAACATAAATGGATGTTGTCTGGAAGATTACAATAAACATTTCTGTTCATTTTATTCTTAATCAGCTCTTTTTGCTGTCATTTCACAGACAATACTCTAAGTCTAATTATGCATCTCCAGAACATTAACATTTTATTAGCATTTTTTATATATATATGTATATCTTCCTCATCCACTTAGATTGGAGGATTGTTTTTGCCAAAAACTAAAGAACTAAAGAACTAGAACAGCTATTTTAAAAAGTGACGTACTTGAGAGAAACTCCATTGCCATAATAACAATTCACTATGGCTCATATTCATGCACTCTTTCTCTGTTTTTTATGATCAGGAACATTTTATGACATAGACAGAGAAGCATGACAGAAGTGTATAGTCTATTATAAACTATAAATAAATAAATAAATAATTACAGCAATACAAGCAGAGGGAGTGCTGAGACCTGTAAGGAGTATCTTTGGTATTTCTATATTTGGATTCAAGTTTAGCCAGTATTCTAGTTGGACGTATAAACTGATGTAACAAGATTATTTACTTGTCACAGTTGGCTCAGAAAGTATCACAATGTTTGAACTTGTGTTTATACAGACTTGATCTGTAGTTACCTGAGAGATAAATAACAGCTACATAACACATTTGAATCAGTATTGCCTTATTTTAGTTTAGTTTAAAGGAAATAAATGGTGTTTTCAGTCTCTGCTCTGGTATCAGCTGATATCGGATATCAGCAGATACTTACAGCCAGTGTAGAAATCAATATCGGAACTGAAAAAGCTGGATCCTTACTTATAATATTCATTTTATATTATGTATTTATGTATTCATTTTGACCTGCTAAAGTAAAAAGATTTTTCAGCACATTTTATCACATTCCTGGTGCATTGTTGAAATACCATCTGAATATAGTTATTAACATAAAAAATATATATACAGCATATCCCAATCTTCATTTTTGTCCATATGGCCCACCCCTACGTGAAACAGTCATCTTGAGCTGGGTTCATGAGTTAGTTCTGGTTAGTGCATGTGGTTGTGTTATGGTTGCGATGAGAGAAGCCAGTCCTACATGCTCCTGCTGCAGTTACATGGATTATAGATCAACAGTCTCCCCCCTCACATCACAGAGCCCCAGTGACTCTGCCTTCACTGTGCGCATGACTTCTCACAACAACATCTCAAAGGGAATATGGGAAGAAACACTGACATGCAGCTTAAATTAGAAAATCGTGTATTGAAAAGTTTGACTCTGGTTCTTAAAGGTCCTACGTTAAGCAAATGTGACTCTAAAGAACTTGAAGCCATATTTGAATGCTGTTACCTCATCAAAAACATATCTGGAGTTGTATTTAGTTTCATTCACACACGTTTGATTAATCCTTTTTTATTAATCTGTTTACTAACTCGCTTTAAACCTCAGAATACTCTGTTCCACCTTGTGATGTCATGAAGAGCTGAAATCATCCAAATGATTGTAGTGAAGATGTATGGAGTTTAAAAACACAGTGGAAGATGAGACTCAGACTAAATATACATGTGTGAACAAAACTAAACAAAACTCGTTTTTTTTGATGAGGAAACAACATTATAACACAGACGTAGAATCTGTGTATCATCCTTTCATTTGTTTTTCAAAATAAAACCAAAAATAAGAAAATGAAAAAAACAACTATTTTCTTCATTATTTGTCTCCAAAACCAAAATGAAAAAACGGATAACGATTTTATTTTATTTTTTTCTCAGTTTTTGATTTTGTGTTGATGAATAATGGAAAAAATGAATAACGACTGTTTCCCATTTCCATGATTTAAACTGCCATGCCGGACTTTTGCGCCACGTACGGACTGAACCAGAACTGAACCAGGACTAAAACAGGACTAAACCAGGTCTAAAACAGGACTAAACCAGGACTGGGTGTTGGGACGGGCCTGGAGGTGCGCCCTCGTAGCCCGCCAGGATAAAAAATTATCCTCATCCTTTTTTTCATTTTGTAGTTTTTTGTTGTCTTTCTTTTGGTTTATTTTGAAAAACAAATGAACAAATGCTACACAGATTCTATAGACATATGCAAAATCTACTTTTATGAGCTTTGAGGTTTTTTAGGTTCATTCATGCATGTTTGAGTAATCCTGTACTGTTCTACATTTGAGGCTTGAGTGCTCAGAAAATTCTTGTTTTCACCTACCCCCTATCCCCACCCACATCTCACATCTCATCTTAGTTGCAATTATTTGAAAAATTAAGACTTCAAGCAATACATGTAGGCTTCAAAAGTGTCACACATTAAAAATCACAAAACAAATCCACTGCTTGCTACTATGGGGCTAAACAAAAAGCCTTTTGTCCCATTCCTACTGTGCTGGTTTAGATTAATGTTGCAGTTTACAGTGAGCAAAATGTGAAATGATGATCCACTTATGTTATAGATAAGTACTATGATATGTCTTCTTTAATCTTCATACATTTGTATAAAAAGAGATGGAAAGATTTAGTAAAAATTTGATTAAAAAAAAAAAAAAAAAAAATCAGATAATATTTTTTTGTTCTCTGTTTTTTCTTTGCAGAGACAGACTTCTGGAGCAATGACTGGAAACAGCAAATCATCTACTGGACAAGGTATTTGTAACTCACAGTGAGAGAAATGCTCTAATTCACTAATGTGTGCAAGATATTTTAGTCAAGAATCACAGAATATAATATTTTATACGAGGCTTGACAAATGAGCAGGATTCTTCCAAGAAGAGCACCTAGAGACTTAAATGAAATCATTACTGCACCATAAAGACAGCCAAGTATCTCAATGTTTGAGTCAAAATTCCCAAGGTTGGTGGTTGAATCCCTTCTCCAGCAACTGCACACTATTATTGTGTCCTTGGGCAAGACACTTCACACACATTGTTTCTAGTGTCTTTGGTGTGTGAATATGTGTATGTTCATTACTGTTTAGAATGAAATACTGTTATATAAGGTAGGTAGAGTGACAAGGTAATTGCTAAAAACAACAGTTCTTCAATTACAAAACTAAACTTGCTAGATGCATATAAATCCATGTATCATTCATTTTTCAATATAAAACGAAAAATAAGAAAACAACTATTTTCTTCATTATTTATCTCCAAAACCAAAATGAAAAAATGGACAACGATTAGTTTTTTCAGTTTTCAATTTTGTGTTTAAATGAATAATGGAAAAACAGGACTGAACCAGGAGTGTTGGGACGGGCCCGGAGGTCTGCCCGTGTAGACTGTCAGGTGATCAGGACTGAGACCAGGACCAGACCGGGACCAGGACCAGGACTGAGAGCAGTCTCAATATTGCTGAGACCTGTTTAGTCCTGGTTTAGTCCTGTTTCAGTCCTGTTTTAGTCCTGGTTTAGTCCTGGTTCAGTCCTGGATCAGTCCTGGTTCAATCTGGCATCGCAGTTTAAGTCACAGAAATGGGAAACGGCCGTAATCCTATTCCCATTATTCATTTAAACACAAAATAAAAACTGAAAAAAATAATTGTTATCCGTTTTTTTATTTTGGTTTTGGAGACAAATAATGAAGAAAAAAGTGTGTTTTTTCATTTTCTTATTTTTGGTTTTATATTGAAAAACGAATGAACACATGATACACGGATTCGTATAGATGCAAAAATGTTATATTTCCTCCACCAAAGCCAGACTGTGAGAGTTTAATGTACTACAAATGGAACACAGGTACATACAACATCTGAACCCCATTTAGTCAACTCTAAGAAATACCCCACTGTTTCTGCCAACGTCAGTGTTTTAGGAAAAATTTAAACAAGCCCCATTTTGCAAACTGGGCCACAGCGTTATGTGCATAATAATGTAATTCAAATCCTTTGAGTTAGGAATGGTCGAACTGGCTTGTAGCACATGCAGTTATCCAAATGAGGTGTAAAAGAGAGGGTTTAACCCGAGTTCTCATAAAAAAAAAATATCCAAAGTTTTTTGTAATTAAGAATAAATCAGCCTTACAATTGTTAGAAAAGCTTGGGATGTAACAATATCCAAATCTCTTGGTACGATATTATCAGGATATGCATGTCACGGTACAATATTTACTGCGATATTTTGGAGAGGCTAATATAATTGTAGATGGGACACTTTTTTGCTTTTAAAATATCTTGACAAGATTTTGGTGTGAATTATTTCCATCATAATCCCAAGAATTCATGTGAAAAAAAAAAAAAAGTTTCCTTATGTTGTTTGCACTGAAATGAATCATGGGATATGTAGTTCCCTATGTTTATAAGCTGTTGCTGCTAAAAAAACATGCATTTAAGCAAAGGAACTTGTAATTCAATAACAAACTACATATCCCATGATTCATTTCAGTGCAAACAACATAAAGAGATATTTTACTTGAATTCTTGGGATTATGACGGTAATAATTCACAACAAACACTTGTCAAGGTATTTTTAAAGCAAAAAAGTGTCCTATTTACAATTATATTAGCCACTCCAAAATATTGCAATAAATATTGTACCATGAGATGCATATCATGATAATATCGTAAGGTGAGATTTGGATATCGTTACATAGGTATCATGATATTTCAGTTATTGATACATCCCTATTATTATTTATATAGCACATTTCATAAACAAAACTGTTTCCAAAGTGCTGCACAATAAAGATTAAAAGCATCGATCTGAATATGTTTACCGTGCGTCTGTGGACACAGCAAGGTCAGGCTTATGAAACTGAAATTGTAGATAGCCAAGAAAATAGTTTTTATAGCTGACCCAAACTCAGCTGAGGCGACTGTAAGAGACACTGGGCTCTCGTGTTTGGCCTGAAGAGAGAACAGATGCTTCAAGTCTCCAAACATGAATATTCATTTAGCTTGCTGCTCCTGTTTACATCCACACAGATGAATCTTTAAAGTGCTTTTTGCAGCCTATACATTTATAGAGGAGGGTCCATGGCTGCGTGCTCTGTGATACAATACACAGAGGAATGGGGAATGTAATGAACCTGGTCTAGTCACACACAGGCTACTAAACTACAGTACAATTGTTTTTCTACTGCTTTGTACATGAAAAAAAAACTTACCTTACGCATTCTAAACATTCTAATTATTCACTGGGATGAGTTTATAAGGACGTTTCAGAAATTTCAGAGGCCAGATTGGAATTTTGCCATCACAGTAATGCTAACAAAAACTAGCAGGCTTGCAGTGCACTTCCTGATTCTCAGTGGATAAAAGGCTTTATAATGAGATGCAGAAAGCACACAGCAATCAGATTTCTACTGCTCTGTACAACAAATTTTGCTCAACTACAAAAAAAAAAAAAAATGGGTGCAGTCATTTTGGACACTGGCTGCACTGAAACTTTAGGCCTACTAGTACTTTTTTATTATCATTTTAATTCTGTATTTCCTAATTAATGTGATAATGTGATTGTTTTTAACTTTCACTTCTTTATTTGCCCTTGAAATGTGAAGTACAATGTAAATAAATGTATTATTATTAAGGCTTTATTGCTTTAGAGAAAAACTTTACGCATACTGTATCAATGACATTTAACTTGTTTGTAAATTGGGATAAATCGATTTTTTCTTTCACCTTTTCAGATTCTTTTGCATTCATAAAGGCTATTTATTTGCAAACAAAACAAACCACACAAATGAATAAATGTTTCTCCAAAATGAATAGAACCCCTTTTTTAACATAAATCCGCAATTTGTTGACAATAACATTTACTTGCATTTAATCTTACATAATTAAAACAAACCAAAACAAAAAACATTACAACATTAATCATCAAAATAGAACGTTTTATGAAATTGGTAAAAAGAAGAAAACGTGCACAGATTTCTTACACAAGATGCTCTTAGTTTTGTTCTTTCAAAAACCTTCGTTGTGCGTAAAAGAATTATGTAAATAGCTGCGACGTCTGCATATTTTGTCGTACCCTCTGAAATTTTGATGGTACCTGCATCGTGAGTGCCAAACCTCAATGAGATTGGAGGTAATAAGTTCCAATTTCAGCCCAAGCCTCATCCATCACTGTCTGTATTCTCTTAGGCTGCTGAAATCTCACAGGACGCCATTTGATCGTGACCTTTTTCAAACCTCTTATGGAAATACGCCATCACACTTTGTAGCGCTTACCAATTCATTCACCACACGCACATTAGCTGAAGTGTGTGCTGCACGGGCCACTGTGAACATACATTAGACAGATATGAGCAGTGCTGGAGTAACGAAGTACTGTACTTAAGTATACATTTTAGGTATTTGTACTTTACTTAAGTACATTTTACAGTGGATACTTTTTTACTTTGACTTCACTACATTTGAGAGCAGATATCTGTACGTTCTACTCCACTACATTTTTGAACTGGACTGAAAAGTAAAAGTATTTGTAATTTTACTTTGAGACCTGCTGAAAAGGCTGAGGGTTTATTTTTAACACATTTATAATTTGAGCAAACAAATATGCAAAAAACAAACAAACAAACAAAAACATACCATTTCAATTATTTTCACTGAACAAAATTCAGCACAAATCTATATCAAAATCAATACATTTGCTTTATTACATCTCAAAATCTGTGCAAAACACTTTTACTTTTTACGCTTTAAGTACATTTTAACAGGTACTTAAATACTTTTACTTAGTAGTTTTTTTCATATGATACTTTTGAGTATTGAGGGTTTTTTTTTTTTTTTGCTCTGGTATCTGTACTTTTACTTTAAGGTGCACTGCAAACGTCTACTCGCTACTTGCTTGTCTCTATGGAGATATTTTGTTGCATAGAATGTTCCAGAGTAGGGCATTAAACATATCTGCCTAGGATTTATTCAATTACAGAAGTTCAAGAGCTCAAAAAAAAAAAAAAAAAAACTTGAAAAACATGAATTCTTACTATGTGCAGGCTTGCCTCTTCATAGATCTGACCATTAACTTGTCATCAATCATGGCAAAGCAGTAACTTCTCCAAGGAGACAAGCAGGTGTTGAAAAATTACACAATGCACCTTCAAGTAACAAAGCTGAGTACCTCTTCCACCACTGTCCTGTACAGTACTAGTATATGAGTAACTTTTGCCATTTCGTAATACCATTTTCCTCCTCATTTCCAATCCTGTCATTTTAAGCGCTCCAAGGTCAACAAAAGATGACGTCTAAATGTAAGTAGGTCATTTGGAGACATCACTTAATCTGCCCCAGCACAGCAGGTCAGCACAGAGAGCACTGAGAGCACCACACAGCACGACAACAACTGCACTACCGCAAAAAAATACTCTGACCTTTCGCTTCCATGACTTGATATATTGTGACATTTCTGTTTATTGTGAAAACTCCAGCGGCGGCCAATAAAGCTGAACATTCATTTGAGTTATTCCACTCTCTGAGCACTGGCCTCTATAGTCCTACTGTACACTTAAGTTAATGTGCTTTTTGTAACTTTGTAATTAATTCATGCAGTTATTAGTTTTTTCTAATCAAGATTGGTGCAGTTATTTATTTTAATTGTCAGTGATCAGCTTTTATCTGTATAATATAGAGATCTGGAGTCAGTCCTGCCAATAAAAGCATTTCATTTGGAGCAGAGTTCAAACTATGGGGGGATTGATGGGCTGTTCCTTTATTCAATAGCGATAATTACAAGTCTGTATTGTTTATGCTCAGGAAAGTAACAAATAGATTTACTATATTTGTTTTTACTAAAGGAGCACTATGTAACTTTTGCCACCCAGCTGATTTTATTGCTCTGCCTCGGGGTGGGAGTTAAAAAGTTTTACTCCTTCCCACTTCCTTACTTCATTATTGTAAGTGCACAAATGTCACAGAAAAGTTTTGTTGTAAGTTTTACGATGTTAAGTTGACTGGCAGTAATGTGTGAAAACGAAATTCAACAACCAAGCTCGAAATAACTAATGGATTGATTGATTCCACAGAATGTTTACCCTGGTAGCATCTTCATGGCGATAAAATTCACTATTGTAGAACATTCCTGACAAAGCAATAATATCTCAGGTGTCAGACTCTGCAACATAAAAGTTATTAATCAGAAATCAGATCTTGAGCTAGAATCCTGATTGTCAGTATTGTATTTTACTATAATGGAAAAACAGCCTATGCATAGGTTTCAGAATGATGAAAAATAGGACTGCTGCCATAGCAATTAACAATTTAAACCAAATATCTAGGCATTTGCATGGTGAAAAATGTTAAAGTAGAGTAGTAGAGTTAATATTTTAGGTGTATAAGTGTAGTAGCTGAAGTAAGACCCATATGAGGCGGGACATCTCCAATCAAATTAGAATAACATGGAAATAATATACGTCTTTTACTTTCTGAAATGAGTGACAAAAATATTGAAATTTTTCATGATATTCTAACTTGTTGAGATCTACACAAATACTTATGGACCATGGTAGCTGATTTCTAGTGATGACCCTTGAAATGAACAGTGGTAAAGGTGCACTATGTAACTTTTTGGTTAGGGTCCATCACCTTCTTGTTTCTATAGATATGTCAATGTTCTGCCTCAAATGTTCCTCAGTAAGACACGCAGCAGCTCTACGTTACATTTATTCAATTACAGGTGGTTTTATGGCTCAAAAATACCTAGAAAAACAGGAATTCTGATTGTGAATGGGGTTGCCTCTCCACAGATCTGACCTGGTTTTGTCTGGTCTCCATGAAGATAGAAAGGTTTAATGGTGTACTGTGAAACACACCAGACAAAGCAATAACATCTTCTATTGAAAAGCACTTGGTGGAACCTCGTCCAGAAAAGTTGCACAATGCACCTTTGAGTTAAAATATAAAGAGAACACAGACACTTCCCAGTTCGCAGTTGTTTGTGTGTCGATATGTGGACTTTATCACTGGCCTTTGATTTAATGTCAGGCTTCATATTTGGCCTTTACTACGACATGAATGAGCCCGGTCCATAACAGTGCAGACTACAGCCCACACAAGAGCAGTGTCTCAGAGCAGCTCGGTTTACACGGCTTCATTACGCACTTATTCAACTGTGCACTGTAAAAAGTAGCTCCCAAATCACGCTCCATTGGATTGCACTTTTTCAAGACTCCTCCAGTACAGCTACAAATGGGTGGAGAACAATTTTGAGCAGTGATAGCTGGCCTATAGAGGACGCAAGTGAGCTGCATAGACATATTTTTATCACGTTAAATGTGCTCATATCACTTTATTTGAGTCACGTGTTTGGCATTTAAATGCGCTGGTTTGGAGCGACTTAATGGAGGTCTAGGAAGGGCTTGAAGTTTGCAGAAAATTTGATGTCATTATGTTGCTTCTGCCCATTACTTTACATTACATCAGTAAAATACGTCTTGGAGGCATAGGGTGGGGGTGACCTGAAATCAAGTGACTGGTCTTTGTAAACATTATCACACACTTTTGGCCTATTGTGATGTGTGATCACTCTCTCCCGCCCAGCCCCAACTCTCCACTGGCAGCATGTTACTGCTACAGGCTAATGAATGGACAACAACCAGATCCATGCACCGAAGGCCCTGCATGTGTTTCTTTAGTTCAGTGCCTGCAGGGATAGTCACTGATTTGCCCAGATACCATTGGAAGAAAAATTGTGATTGGTCCATTTCCATTCCATTATATTAACCCTTTGCTTCCCAAGAAATATTAGTCCACGTTTATAACAAGCATCTAGAAATTCTTACTAGTGTAGTGTTTATTAATGAATAAAAAACATAAATATATTAGTAGTAAAAAATAATTCAATATTTTTTCTTAGGCCTTCACTGAATACCTTGAAGGCTCCAAACTTTCTTTCTACTGCTCGATTACCTTTTTAAATTTTCAGTGGTACAGAAGTATTGGTGCGATCGACTGACATGATACAGACAGAACAGCGGCTCTTTCTGCAGGAGACATGCAGAGTATCTGTCTAACTAGTATGAATAAAAAAATATGTATGTTTAGTGTACACTGTGCGCACATACAACACACATATTTTCTACACACATGAATGTAGATGATCATAAATGCTGACCTAACCCTAACAGATGGATAGTGATGCATGTTTTGTGTTAAATCAATATTTTAATTGTATTGTTTTATTAATAGTTATTTGGATAGTTCATTTCTAACAGTGATAATCTGTCATCTGATGAGTTTTAGATCAACAACTATTTCCCTCAGGACAATGTCTGCGCACCTAAACTTACTACACAGCAACAGTCAGTATGCAATGATTGCCTCTTCAAATTAAATAAAACAATAATTTCCTCCACAAACAACTAAATCCTGAACTAAGTCTTATCCTGCATGCAAACTGCTAACCCTGAACCCTGAACAGATTAATAAAACATAAATCACAAACCTAGATATTTCACAAATCGTGACATTTGAAAAGTCTGACTCACCAGCCCGTATGCTGTGTTTCGCTCGTGCTCCTGTGTGATGTCGGCCACACAGGTGAAAATGACAGAGAAAGTGACTGCGAATACGCCAGACATGGAGATGACAGTAAAGTACCACCAAGGAAAAAGGACATTTAAATTTAAAGATGAACTAGGTAACTTTTTCTGAAAGAGGTTTGTGGAATGCTTGTCATTCACTATGAGGAGTTTATTGCTTTGCCTAAAATGTTCCACACTCTGGCATTAAGCTTGTCTATCTTGAATGGAAAAGAAACTTTGTACTTGTGAAACTTGCTTTCACCGTTGGTTTAGCTTGGGGTGAAACGCTGGCAGTCAGACCTGCTCCTAAAGCTAGTGGGAGTGTCCTTTGGGAAAATGGCTCACAGTTTGTCTGTTATTAATGTCGATATCTGGATTTAGGGACTAAATAGAGAAATAAAAACACCAGGATCATGGGTCTGACCTGTAACTTGGCTTATCTCCATGGAGATAGATAAGTTTAACATTGTGGCAGTGAGTAGGCAGTGAAGAGAAAGCTCCACCAGAAACGTTGTGCAAGGCAGTTTTAAAAAGTTATAACATTTGTATACAATAATGAGAAACAAATAGAGTGTTCTGAAATAGTGTTTTGATAGAAAAATGTACTGATATTTTACACTTATCCTCTACTACCATTTTTCTCTTCTAAAATTGTGTGCAGTTGGTGAGCAATCAAAAATCAAAACTCCAGTTTGTAAAACATTTAAAACTTAAATTGTATATGAGTAGTTTATTGTGTTATTTTGACCAAGTTTTACTCAAATTTACTCTTCAATCAATTATTTGTAGAAAAGGATTCATCTTTTCTCATCTGTTTTTGTGATCAAGATGTTTTGGCACCCATCCAGAAGCCATTTTCAACCGCTGGTACTGGCTTGAAACACTGCTAATTTATTCGACTCTGGGTACTAAGTTCTACCCCACATCTAGTGATAAATGGCTTCTGAGTGGGAGCTGAAATGTTTTGAGTCCAAATGACCACAGATGAAAGCTTCTCTATGATGAATCACTCCTGAATGAATGAAAGTGTCACTTTTAGTTTATTTGCATTTTCTATTGTGAATGTCTGCACTTGGCTCCATTTCATTTCATGTTGTTTCTTCATCACAAACATGGAGTTGTGTTTTGTTTAATTTGTTTCATTCACACATGTTTAACACACAAACCCTACATATTTAGGTTGAGTTCTTCTCTCACACAGAAAACACTGTTCCACCTTATGTCATGTGATAATACAGTAAACGCTCCACTGTGTTTTTAAACTCCACTTGCTTGCTATTATCTGGTGTTGTAGTAGTCAAGACTGACCTCTAGACCATTTTTTTACGGTCTTAGTCTCGTCTTGGACTCGAGCACATTTGGACTCGGTCTTGTCTCAGTCTTGATGGCACTTGGTCTCAGTCTTGTCTTGGACTCGAGATCTGATACTCGAGGAATGTGATCATATTTCACCACGGCCAGTAAATGCGCAGAGGCTGCAAAACATCACTGAAACAAAAAAACACTTGATTAACTCTGAAGTTGTTTTTTGTGGGATTAAAGAAGGGCTTCTCAAACTGTGGGTGAGGGTCCAAAAAAGGGTCACAGAGTGTTTAAGTGCAGTAGAGTTTGCTTGGTCTATTTTAAACCTAAGTGAACATTAATCAGATAAAATGGAGATAAATTTATAAAAGCATTGATATATATGTACCAAAATAACTATAAAATACAAATAAATGTAGGAAATGTCAAAGATGGTCTTGATTTGGTCTCAGTGGGCCGTGGTCTTGGCCTTGTCTTGGTCTCGACCTTTAAAAGGCTTTGAAAGACTCTCAGAGGTCTTGGTCTTGTCCTGGTCTTGGGATCCTGTGGTCTCAGACTGGTCTTGGTCTCGATGAGTGCGGTCTTGACTACAACACTACTATTATCCCTCACAAACCAAGTATTACCTTCCAAAAAGTGACCATATTTGTAATGCTACTTCTCATAAACTGCCTCTTTTTCATTTGTTCAGACGATAAGAAAAACAACCAGCCCGAGGACTTTGACATTGACATGGAGGACCCGGAGACAGCCAAGGCAGCCGTGGCCATCCAGTCTCAGTTCAGGAAGTACCAGAAAAAGAAGCAGGATGTGAAGTCGTAAAGCCCCACCCACTTCCACGGCAATGTCTGAAAGGGGGCGTGGTCTTGCATGTTGAATACAGAGCACTGTCATGAACTCAACGGGCCTGGGGTGGAGCGGGGTGGGGGCGGTGCAGGTGGATAACAGTATATTTGTCTGTGTGTTATTGTAACTAAATATGAAACGCATAATAAGTGTTTACGTTGATGTATTTGTTGATGTTCTGTTACTTTTTTTTATTTTATTTCGAGTGCCAGTTTTTTGTGCTTTTTTTTCCTGTAACATTTTGTGTATTTTTCACCTATAAAAACAATAATAGCTGTAGTTAAAGGTGCACTGTGTAACTTTACTGATGGAGAGTCCGTCATCAACTTGTCTCCATGGAGATGATGTTGTTTTGTCTGGAATGTCCCAGTGTGGCATTAAACATATCCATCTTGCATTAACTCAATAACATGTTTTTTTATTCACTTAAAAACTTGCATTCTTACTGTGAGTGGGCTCGCCTCTGCACAGATCTGATATTTAAACATGTGCATGTGTGATGTGTATATTAATAAGTTTAATGCCATACTGTGGAACACTCCAGGCAACATCTCCGTGGAGAGAAGCAGGCGATAGACCCTCCACCAGAAAGGTTACACAGTGCTCCTTTAAAGAGGAATATAAAGCCACAAGATTTCAATGTAGATGTGATTTATACCAAACAAAAACATATAATTTTAACTGTATTCTGAAATATAATGGGTTTTGGACACCTCGTCGTCACTGAGTGATTAGTAGTATTGCATATTACATTACTTTACGTTAACAAGTGTGTGTAGTTTGATTTGTCTATTGTTTTAATGTGATCTCCTCTTCTCCTCTATCGTTGTATACTGTACAAGCACATATGAATGCATGCAGCTTCAGACACTATGGTTCACAGTGGAATCAATAAAAAACTGGAAAATGATGTCTTTTGTGTCATAATTTCTTACTGAACTGTTGTTGAACCAAATGCTACATAGAAGTGTATCCGCAAGGTTCAGTTACATACTTTAAATAATAAAAATGTAAGCATCTTATAACTGATATTTTCCAGTTTTAGGATTTTAAAGCTACCATCTGTAAGTTTATTAGATTTTTCTTACCAGTAAATGACAGATGCGAAGTCAGGTCCTTCTAATACAAAGCAAGTGTACATATACTATATATATACAGAGGTGGTGCTACCATTAGGCAAAAGTAGGTGTCTGCCTAGGTCCCCCAAACCTGGAGGGGCCCCCAACTAATTGCCCTCAGTGCCACTAATGGCCGAGGCTTCAGAGCAATTAGATTTTCTCTCAGTATGACATTAAACGACAGTAGTTGACTTTCAAAGAATAATCATAAGAAAAATAATAATAATATCATCATATGTAATTGATGTAAACAAAAATGTAATTTTACAAGCAAAAAATAAAACTACTTTCAGCTCTGGTTCTTTAGTAGGCTACCGAACTAATAAGACATGTTTCCAATCCACCATAATTCAAATAGAGATGTGCATGTGTCAAGGACAATGGGGAAAAACAGACAATAAATATATAAAAAAACAAAACAAAAGAGAAAAACAGTACTTTATAGTAAGGGCCCCAAACTCAAGTTCGCCTAGGGCTCCCAAATTGCTAACTCTGCCACTGTATATATATGTAAACTAACAGTAAGGATTATTCTATATAAATGCACATACCTATATAATTGACTTCATATAAGAAAGTTCATTAGTTTGGCTATAGGGTATAAACATTATACATCAACATCTAAAAGAATATGGGATTTGACCAACTAAAATATGCTTTTGTGTCGCGTTTGTGTCTGATACTAAAATATAATCCCACCAGATATTCAGTATTTTTCAGTATGCCTTGACTTTGCCTGTAGCCGGGACATGAAATCTGTACACATGTGAGTGAGTGCTGGTCTGAGCTGTAAGCATCTAGAAAATAGTTTATTACAGAACATTTTTCAGATTCATTCCCCTCGCGACAGCCGCTGACAGCTTCATATTTCTCTGACTGATCACAGTGAACGAGTCAGTCCAGCTCCGAGCCGCTATTTATGATCAGATCATTATAAACCAGCGACATACGAACGAGACCAGAGCTGCAGAGCAACTCACGTGGAGGTGGGTAGTACTCAGTTACATTTACTTTAGTATCTATTTAAAGAAATCCTGCATTTTGGAGTAGTTTTCATACCACATATTTTTACTCCTACTTGAGTAACAAAGGTTGAAGTCACAGAACTCATTTGGTTAATCTTTCCACTGTGAGCAAGTGACAAAAGCTTTATGCTGACAATAAAGTATTTGAACATTTGTGTTTCTTACATCTTACCTTCAGATATGATAGTCATTTTTTCACTTTTTTTTTTGTCTGTTCTTTATGTTTTGTCCTTTAAATTGTCTTCATCTTCAAATTATGAATCGTATTTTTCATCCAGAGTGTTAAATCTGGACTGTTAAAGAAATGATTTTGTGCAGTGAAGTCCCACATCACAGTGAGAATATGTGGAGTGGACAGTGTTGTATGACTGATGACAAAAGAATGTAATTTGTTTTGTTTTATGTCTTGGAAGCGTGTACATGTTAGAAACATGTAGTAGGAGGTATAATTTTAAGCACGGTTTTGTAGTTTGTATATAGGCCTAAATACAGTCTAAGACTTAGTATTATTATTATTATTGTTATTATTATTATTATTATTACTACTACTACTACTAATACTAGTACTACTACTACAATCTTATTAAACATTTGATAGATTGCAGGATAATAGGGTTTATTAAACAACCTTAATCAACATAGATCTAAAATATGTGGTGGGGGGTTTGGAATAGGCTATTAGCCATTAAAGCTTTTAATGCTGTATTGATTAGTTGTAGCCTGTGAGTTGGACTGGGACTATTTAAAGGTCCTTATCAGTGATACCGATGGTCCAGTCCGTAGTCTGTAAAACAGATCAGATCCCTATAAATTAACCAAATACACTTGTTTGAATTAGGCCACTCCGGCCTGTTTTATAGTGCAGGATCATCATTTTTATATTCATTACATTTTATTGCATATTTTATATGTTCTACTCGTAAAGTTGACTCTGTGTTGTTGGTCAAATCTGCCTGGTGACTGCACAATGCAAAGCTGTACCATACTGCCTCCTGCTGGTGAGGGGGCCGCAGTGCACAGCAGCGGGCCTTGGAGCTGGGACCTGTTGAGGAACAAATAAGGCTGTAAACATCTGTAAACATTTCAAACCTGCACAAGACGCTTTGGGGAACAGCCATTTTATTTATCAAATTTTGAACTTTGTGTTAGTTTCTCTTTATTCCAGTGCCACCTTGGTGAACACTAATGTTAAAAATAAAATGTGACATTATTCTTTTGTTAAAATGTATCATAATGAAGACAGTTAATCAAAGATCTAACCAAATAAACGGACAGAATGACCTCACAGCATCTTGGATCAAACTCCTTTCGGTGGACCCAACAGAAAGAACAGAAGCTGGTGGGGGTAGACAGAACAAAACATCTCTTTACGCATATCCACATTTTTAGATATTTCCCATAGACATTAGGTTTGGTTTGAAGGGGGATTCTGTTGGATTGTCTCACATTTTCCCTGTAGAGGAGTATTGCTGCAATGCAGCAACAGTAAATCTACTGAGGAGAGTGAGAGCCCGGAGGCTCTGCCTAGTGCACTGAGAGAGGGGACTGATCTGGACACACTGTAGTGGGGATGTTGTGAAGTGCAAACCGTTACTGTCTAAAACCTCCCTGTTCTAGCTAACAACATTTACCGCTGGCTCACTGCAGCAGTAAATACCCCTGAATACATAGCAGTGTCCCGCCCTGTAGGATACTCACAACATACTTCTTTACAGTACAGTATAGTTTCATAGACTTTTCATAGCTTTTTTCATATTGCACCATCAGAGAATGGGACACAGAGAAATATCAACAGAGACTCCATTTCCTAATTAAAACAAGATATGTGCAAACATGACTAAGGACTTTATTAACCAAATCAATTTCTCCCTGTAATATCCACAAATAAAAGTGATTTCTCTTTTTATATATATATTTATAGTAATAAGAATAATAAATCTTCACATTGGATCATTTCATAGTGTGACAAAATGCTCGACTGGTCTGCCCAGCCGCGGTCGTCATCCTCATTGTCTTTTTAGTTGGTCAGTCCCCATGCATCCATAGGAAATAGATTTTTTTTTCTTCAAAAAAGTAACAAGTTGAGAGCAGCTGAAAAGTTTGGACTGGTGTCAATTGCTTTTGTTCCAAGATTTCTCCCAAGTTTATTCAGTTTTTCTGAATATTCCATAGGAAAAACATGACTCCAAATGGTCATCTTCTACTCCGGAAGAACAAAAACATGTCCGGGTTCGTATGAAAACCTTGTAGCAGTGGTGAGCATTTGGTTATCAAGAATAATGATCAGTAAGTTGACAACTAACAATAATAATCACTGATTAATATAAAGAATGAACAAGAATAAATAATGCTCCTCAATACTCAATTAGTTTGGCAAAGCTCCGTCTGGAGTCGTCTCCAATGAGTGAATCAAATAAAACAGTATAAACAAACTGAAAAGAGAAAAACAAAAGCTCTAAAATAAATAAAAGGAGATTAGTAAAAGTGAGGCCACCCTGCAGGGGGCGCCGTATATACAGAACTGTGGTGAGTCAGTTTACTGCACTTGAGTGTTAGTCCAGTGAGTCCGCTGTTACACCAGCGTGTAGGACTGCGCCCCCTACTGTTATACCAGCGTATAGGACTTTGCGTAGGGGTTGCTGCTCTGTTTGAGATGTCCTCTTGAGTCCAGCAGAGACTCCTGGGACGTGCTCAGTTTGGCGGCCTGTGCCAGCTCTGAGCCCTCTCTGTGGGGCAGTGTGGCGGCAGAGCCTGGCTGCCACTGGGCAGCAGCGTCCCTGCTGGCCTGGGGGGCTTCTGTGGGTGTGGGCGGGGCCATACGGGACGGCCTCTTCAGAGAGCGGCTCTTCTGAGGCTCCAGACAGGCCTGGCCCATGGCTGCCCGCTCTGTG